CTTATCGTTCCATCGTCTCCAGTTTGCACGTCCAAGGAGAAGTGGCGATTGGGGCTGAGCTGGTAGCTCTGGAGGGAGTTGGCGCCCACGTCCGGATCCACAGCTTCTGGGAGTGGGTAACGTGTTCCAGACGCAGCGATTTCGTTAATTTTTACTTCCAGATTTTCAGCCTGGAATTTCGGGGCATTGTCGTTGATATCAGTTATTTCTATTTCTATTCCAAAAAGTTTTCCTCTATCCTCAACCAGGATGTTAATATTGACAAGGCAGCGCGCGCTCTGAGCGCAGAGCTCCTCGCGGTCTATCCTGCCGGCTGTGACCAAGCCGCCGCCTAGCGGGCTCAGAGCAAAGAGCTGGGTCCTACCTCTGGAGACGATGCGGACCCCGCGCTCCGCCAGCTCTGGTGAATTGAGTCCTAAGTCCTTGGAGATGTTGCCCACGACATAGCCTTTGTCTGTCTCTTCCGGCACGGAGTAGCGGATCTGCCCGGCCCCGGTTTCCCACAGCGTCCCCAGGAAAACGCACAGCAGGATCAGCTCGCTGCGTTCTCCCCAATCACTCAGGGCGGCCATTTTTCTTTCGCTACGGAATTCTCTCAGAACCTGCACTAGGCATTCAGTGTCTTGCTTACCTTTTTTACTGTCGCTGTGAAACGAAAAGCCAGAGTGCTCCAAAGTTCGGGGGTGAATTTCGCTGTATTCCAAGAGTTGCTCTGTGGGATTTGCGCGTCTTTGTGAACTGGGAGCCCCAATACATCCGGAGGATGCTCTGATTACATTTCTCTCCAAGTAGGTGAACAGCGGCGCTTAGAGTCCGAATTTGTTACTACACCCATTTAGCTATGTAATACTTTATGTGGTTACTGTACTGAGAAACTGCTACTTGCTTTTTATTAGATGCTTTGTTTTGTATTTATTTCATTTCCCCCTAAAGTAATATTTCGGAAGTAATTTCAAAGGAGTATAAGATGAAGTGAGAGGAAAGTATTAAATATTATTAAACGACCAGATTTACGGGTTAGCATGATATTAAATTACTCATGTTCTTGGAAGACAGCTGTCCCTTTCAAGTTTATAAATTATGATATGTTATTTCTTTCTTATGTGGTTTAAATCTTGTTATAGATATTTCCAATATCTACAAATTTGTCAAATTAGAATTGCTGTTGTCACTGGAAATGGATATGTAACACGACTTAAATAGATTTGTCAGAGATGGTTGAATCATACGTTTTTTAGTTGGTTTCAATTAATTCATTATTTGAGGAGGCTTCGCGAAGAGTCATTGCTTTCTAATTTCATTACTAAAAAATTAATATTTAAAATTATTTTTGTGATTATGCAACACAGCAAAAAGCTTTCAAACCTTAAGTGTCACTGGAGATTATATTGTCCTGCTATTTATATAAATTATGTTCCTAAATGAAAATGAAAAAACATCTAAAAAGAACAAACTAATATGCATTTTAAAGCAAATCTTCATCCCATTTACCATCAGTGATAAATGATTAAATTTTAAGGAGCTTTAATGACCTTCTCAAAGTAGGCAAATAGTCTAAAGCTAATTATACCTCACCTAGTACTTTGATCTAAGAATCACAAAAACATAAGGAACACATAATTATCACTAAGAAGTGAAAGAGTAAGGGCCACCACAAGGTATTTCCTTAGATAGTTTGTAAAGTTATTAACTGACTCAGGTCCTAAGGGAAAACTAACAAAAGGTTGATACAATGCAAGTCACCTTCGCATGCACACAAAAAAAGGTAGGCTTGCCTAAATTCTTGAAGAGTTTCAGGTTCTCTTTCTCCTCCAGAAATAGTAGAGATAGTTGCATAATAGAAGATCTCTAACTACATTTGTAGGTCTTCAAATTAGACAGTTTCACAATAATACATTAGGAACATGGATGGAGAGAGCAACAGAGGCAAAAGCATTATCTTTTCTTTGAGGGAGGAGTCCATTCCCTACAGTTCAATCCTGAAAATAAAATCTGTTGAATCAAATAGAACATGCTTCTGAACTTTTGGTGAGCTCACCCTAGATCTCCTGCTAGGTAAAGTGCCCACATACACACTTGCACAGCACATTGGATACTCTTTTTGGAAGGGGTCAATGGACACAACAGCCTAGTGTAAGAGATCGTATTTTAAGAGTGTTTTTAAACAAAAAAGGAAATAAAACGCAAGAACTAGACAAGCAAAATGGTATGGAAATTACAACAGTTAAACCTGTGAATAGAAATAGCTCGTCTAAATTCTTTTGCTTTGAAGTTTACTTAAACAATTGCCTACTATTTTATTTATGTATGTAGAAGAATGAAAACTATTCGTTAGATATTAATTGATAAAGAAATCGTATTAGGTAAAATTTCCCTTTCATCACTTAATTGCTCCTACTTCACCTCCCACCCCTTGAAGAGTGGAATGAGCGATGGTAACTTCTTAAGACATTAAATTAAAAATGGCACAATTCCAAGTGAATAGGGATAATGAAAAGTAGTTTATGCCTTAAGGAAACTCACCGGTTGGGAAGTCGGCTCATGGGGGTTATAGAGTGGAAATAAAGCTCCAGATGAATCCGCACAGAGTATGTCTTGCCCTGAATTCAATTGCTCGCTGCTTTTTAGGAAGTTAAATTCGGTCTTTCCCGTCTGTGCAACACACAGATTGTAGGAATAGGGCAAAGTTCCCCCGCTGTAGTTTGGGAGAACCCCAGGCTCAGCCTTCGAACAGAGACCAGGCTGAAAACAGCCCCAGGTGGTGGGACTGGAGGAGCGACTCAAGCGCAAGGCAATGGCCAGAATGACCGCAAGAAGGAAGAGCACAGAGATCAAGGTCAAAGCCAACACCAAGTAGAACTGCAGCTCTGCCTGGGAGTCAGAGGGCTCTGAGAGATTGCTGAGGTCCGGCAGCGCCTCCTGCAGGCTGTCTGCGAAGACCAGGTGCAGTGTGGCTGTGGCTGACAGAGGTGGCTGTCCTCCATCTCGCACAGCGACCAGTAGGCGCTGGCGGGATGCATCTCTTTCACCCAGCGCTCTAGCCGTGCGCACCTCGCCTGTGCGAAATCCCACGCTGAAGAGCCCGGGCTCGCTGGCCTGCAGCACGTGGTAGGACAGCCAGGCATTGTGTCCTGAGTCTGCGTCCACCGCCACCACCTTGGTGACCAGATAGCCAGGCTGCGCTGAGCGCGGCACCATGTCAAAGAGAGCAGAACCATCAGGTTCCAGCGCGGGGTACAGCACCCTGGGCGTGTTGTCATTGCGGTCGCCCACCAGCACGCTCAGGCTGACATTGGCGCTGAGCGCGGGCGAGCCCTGGTCACGCGCCTGCAGCGTCAGCTGGAAGGCGCGCAGCTGCTCGTGGTCGAAGGCGCGCTGCGCGAATACAACCCCGCTGTGCGCGCCCACGGACACGTAGGACGACAGTGCCCGCGGGTCCAGGTCGCTGGCCACGATGGAGTAGGAGACTTGGCCATTGGCTCCCAGATCTGGATCGGAGGCGCTGACTTTGTAGATTGAGGAGCCTGGAGGGTTATTCTCAGTCACATGCACAGTGTATGAGGCCTGATGGAACACAGGAGCGTTGTCATTGACGTCGCCTATATGCAAAGGGACACTTATGCTGGTGGAGAGCGGTGGCTTCCCTCTGTCCGTAGCTGTTACAGTGACGTTGTACTCCGGGGTCTGCTCTCGATCTAAAACTCCATCGGTCACCAATTTGTAAGTGTGTCTTGAGGAAGTAAGTAGTTTAAAAGGAACATCACCTTCTAATTTACAAATAACCTCTCCGTTGTCTCCAGAATCCTTGTCACGAACTTTGAGCAAAGCAATATCTGTTCCCAGCTCGGTGTTCTCCATAATTAAGTCCGGTAGAGACTGGAATATCACTTCTGGGACGTTGTCGTTTTCATCTAGTACTTGAATCTCGACAGTACATTGCGAAATCAATCCTCCTCCATCCCTTGCTTCCAACACTATGGAATAGTCTTTGACTTCTTCAAAATCTAAGGTATTTCGAATCGTAATTACCCCGGTACTTGAATCCACCTCAAACTGAGTGACGTGGTCTGCTTCCCTGAAAGAGAAAGCTATCTCTGCATTGCTGCCCTCATCCTCATCTGTGGCCATCACCCGAAGCACGGCAGTGCCCGGGGACACGTCTTCCCGAAGGCCCACCCTGTACACGTCTTGGCTGAACACTGGGGGGTTATCGTTGGCGTCAGTCACCAGGACCTGGATCTGTGCAGTGCTGCTTAGGGCTGGGTCCCCTCCGTCCAAGGCAGTCAAGGTCAGGTGGTAGGATTTCTGCTCTTCCCGATCTAAGGGTGTCTTCAGGACCAGCTCAGGATATTTACTTCCATCTATTTTCTCTGTATTCACGAGTGAGAAATGGTCGTTGGGGCTGAGCTGATAATTCTGTAGAGAGTTGGTACCAATATCTGCATCACGGGCAGATCCTAAGAAAAATCGTGCGCCAGGCTTTGTGGATTCGCTTATCTGCAGCTCAAAGGCATTTTGCGTGAATGTTGGCGTGTGGTCATTGATATCCTCGATCTCCACGCTCACGTGATAAAAGTTCAACGGGTGTTCAGCAACAACCTCAAATTCCAGGGCGCAGGCGGGCTTCTTCCCGCAGAAGCGCTCCCTGTCCAGCCTGCCGCTCACAAGCAGCTCTCCGCTCTCGGCGCTCACAGTGAAGTAAGGCTTCTCCGAGCTGACCCGCAGTTTTCGGGTCGGTAACTCGTGGACGCCCAGCCGCAGGTCCTTGGCCAGGTTCCCCACCACCGAGCCCTGGGGCATTTCCTCGGGAATCGTGTAGCGGATGGGCTCGGAGAGCGCCAGGCCCCACAAAGACAGCAGCAAGGGAAAGAGCGCTCGCCGCCGCGCAGCCCGGCCCCGCTCCCCGGCGCCGCCGCGGCCCATCCCTCCGCTCCCTCAGTTTGCTCACCAGCCCGGAGACCTCCGTCCGTATTGCAGGCGTCTGGTGCTCCGATGGGCGTTTAGTCCCAAGAGTCAGCGTCCGGAATCCTCCTTTTCCAGAGGAAGAAGTGGTGAAATGCCCACGCTAGCGAGTCTGAGATAGGGTTGTCCTGAAAAGGGCGCTGCGGCTGCGCAAGAAGACGGGGGACTGAGATCGCTCCACTTTGGCCAACAGCGGCGCCCAGAGTTCGCGCTCGAGAACTGCAGCATCTGCTGCTTTAGTTTAACCTGATACAGATCATTAAAACATTGTCCCTAGCTGAACACACGTGGTTTATACGTCTTTATAGTTACCATTTAAACCAGACTCTCTCTTACATATTTCTCTATTTCAACTTCCATGTCATTTGCACCAACTACTGTATGTTGATAGAACCATTCTGTTGCTCAAACACACGCTAGGTATATAAAGCAAATTCGTGTAGCACAGATTTTGCCACAAGTGACCTGGGTCTAGTAATGTTGAATACTTATATTAGGCAGGTGTTTGATTCATTTAGCCATGTTTTCTTTTTCTTTAAATTGTTACTCGTTTTTCTATGTACTTTCGTGCTGATTGACTGCAATTTTTTTTCAGAGTACCAATAATGCTGAATGTTATGCTGTAAACAAAATGTACAGTTTTATACTAATCTATAACATATTTTTATTGAAAAATAAGTTGAATGATCTATTTGAAATAATCCTACCCGATTTTCCTGGGTTAAAAGTAAAGGAAAAGATGTAGTTCAAAGATTGATTAGCCGGTGAGATCTCTCTCCTACCTGTGTACAATAGCAATACTCCAACTTTCAAAGTTTTCAGTGAATAAGGGTTAGTCATGCCACATAAAGTGACCTTTTGTGTGGTCTATTGCCAGAGGCACTGGTCCATGGGAGAAACCTAGTCCATGGACAGTTTATTTGCAATATAGCTCGGATTTTAGTAATGATTTCTCTTTTTTTACTAAACTCATTTTAAAACATTTCATAAATGTTGACCTGAAAGTTTGAATTTTTTTCAATGACCAGAGCCACTTTCCTCACGAAGTATGAATATCTTCTTCACAAAACTCTGCAGTGCTAGGATTTGAATGTATGAAATGGTCGTTTCATGAAGTCTGTATTCCTGATCCCCCTCTTGAGATGCCCACATACACACTTCAGGTTGGAATTCTGTGTTAGAATATGTAACCCTTAATTTCACGAATACCACTTACAACACTTGGAATGATGGTATTTTAATGTTATGCTTTATGTGATGTCATATTTTAATTTTTTGTGAAGTTTGACACGTGCATTTAATCTTTTAGAGGCCAATCTAACTCTCCCCTTAGGACTTCAATTTTAACAGATGTTGTGCTTAAAATAAGTTAGAAACCAACCAAGGTTTTCAGGGCCACCAAAGGGTGATAGGTAAAAGAAGCAACACACAGGGGAAAATGCATCAGATTTGGAATCTAAAGAGAATCCTGAGAACAAGGCTGACCATGAAGAGGCCCAACAACTCATTATCCGGTCTCATTTGTGAAATACATGCGTTTGGAAAACCAAGTAGAAAAAAGGCGAAGATTGACAAATGACATTGACAAACTTGTCCATAGGCTTTTGAGAAACAAATGAGACTAAAGCCTATGTTCCCTTTTTAAGTCTCACCACTAAAACAAACCACTTAACTTGTTTTACCTATTTAGTGACCCTCATCTTTAAAATACTTGTCCTACAAAGCAATAAGAATATTTCACAAAAGAGGAGGAGGCTCCATGAAGTTCATGAAAAAGTTCCAATATCTTTTATTTCTTTTTCCATGGACTTTTGGAAGCTCCCCCCGCCCCCCCCCAATAACACTATGTTGGACTAGAAAAATAAATGAAGTTTGAACTCACCTGAGTATTTGCGGCTTCATCCTTACTTTCCTGAAAATCTATGGCTGTTAACAAGGGATCGCTTTTCTCACAGCTCTCCTGGCTGATGAGCGTGTCCGCGTAGTTGGGCTGCGGGAAGATCAGGTGGCTCCTCCGGGAGTCTGCGGTGAGTGAGACCTCATGGGAATAGGTCTGCAGGAAAGCCTGAACTCCATCCACCCCCACAAAGTGCGAGGCTGACACACCCGCCAGTGGGCCACCTGAAGCTTGGAGCAGACGCTTAGAGTGCCACTTCCTCAGCCTGAGTGCTAGCAGCACGATGACAAAGGCCAGGAACACACAGGATACAGCGGCCACGGCCACCACCAGGTAGAGCGTGAGGCCAGAATCATCTGGGTCAATGGGAGACGCTAAATTACTCAGGTCGGCCAGGACATCAGGAATGCTGTCGGCTACCGCCACAGTGAGGGTGACAGTGGCTGAGAGAGTGGGCTCGCCATGGTCTTGGACTATGACTACCAGGCTCTGCTTGAGGGAGTCTCTGTCCAGTATTGCCCGTGCTGTGCGCACCTCGCCAGTGTTCACGCCCACCACAAAGAGCCCTGGCTCGCTGGCCTTGAGCAGGCGGTAGGACAACCAAGCGTTCTGTCCGGAGTCGCGATCCACCGCCACCACCTTGGTCACCAGGTATCCGGGTTCTGCTGAGCGAGGAGCCAGCTCCATGCCCGTGGAACCGTCAGTGGGGATGGCGGGGTACAGGATCTCAGGCGCATTGTCGTTCTTGTCCAGAATGAACAGGTGTATCGATACGTTGCTGCTGAGTGGTGGGTCCCCACTGTCACGTGCTGTCACTCTAAGTTCCAAGTTTTGCAAGTGCTCATAGTCAAAGGATTGCAGGGCATACAAGACGCCAGTGTCAGAGTTAATAGAGACATAGGAGGACACAGGCGCTCCCTGTAAGGTATCCTCAGCCAAGGAGTAAGTAACTTGGGCATTCTTGTCGCTGTCAGGATCTTGGGCGGTCACGGAGAAGACGGAAGCTCCTCGAGGGTTGTTTTCCGAGATGAAGACTGAATAGGAGGCGTAGGAGAAGGTGGGTGGGTTGTCGTTTGTGTCTGTCACCAGTATAGAGATGTGAGTTTCGGTGGACAGGAGAGGCGTTCCACCATCTGTGGCTTTCACTGTGATGTTATATGCTGAGAGTCTCTCCCGGTCCAGGTGTTTCGCTGTCACCAATCTATAATAATTGTCGATTGACCTTTCTAATTTAAAAGGCAGATTTTCTGAAATGGTGCAGGTCACCTGGCCATTTTTCCCGGAATCTCGGTCTTGTAGGTAGAAAAGAGCGATTACTGTACCAGGAAGCGTGTCTTCAGGGACGGAACTGCTTACCGACGTTACCGTCACTTCCGGAACGTTGTCATTCACATCTAAAAGTGTGATCAGAACTTTGGTCCTCGTCAGTCTACCCGGGCCATCCTGAGCCTGAACTTCCATTTCATAGAACTCAGATTCCTCATAATCAAGGCCTTGTAAAGTTGATAATTCTCCCGTAAGGGAGTTCAGTTGGAATACTTGTAGACTTTTTTTAGTTATTTTCCAAAAAGAATATGTCACTTCTCCATTGATCCCGTCATCGAGGTCTATAGCTTTTACGGTGAGCAATGTTGTGCCCACGGGCACATTCTCAGGCACAGTCACTTGGTACTGGAGCAGAGCGAAGACTGGCGAGTGGTCGTTCACGTCCACCACTGTCACTTGGATGCAGGAGGTGCCGGATCTGAGTGGGTTGCCTCCGTCAGAGGCCGTGAGGAGGAGATGGTGAACCGCCTCTTCCTCCCGGTCCAGCGCCCTTTCCAGCACCAATTCCGGGTACTTGGTTCCATCGTCCCCAGTTTGCACGTCCAGGGAGAAGTGACGGTTGGGGCTGAGCTGGTAGCTTTGCAGGGAGTTTGCACCCACATCAGGATCTCTCGCCTCTTTCAACGGAAAGCGCACCCCAGGAGCAGTGTTCTCCATGATTTTTACGTTCATCTCTTCGGACAGGAATCTCGGAGCGTTGTCATTAACATCCATTATTTCCACTTCAATCGGGTGGAGATTCATTTTATCTCCCATCAGAATGTTGAAGTTCACCAGGCACCGCGCGCTCTGGGCGCAGAGCTCCTCGCGGTCGATCCTGCCCGCAGTGACCAGGCTGCCGCTCCGCGGGCTCAGAGCGAAAAGCTGCGACTTACCTCTGGAGACGATGCGGACTCCGCGCTCCGCCAGCTCTCGGGGTTCCAGTCCCAGGTCTTGGGCGATGTTCCCCACAAAGGAGCCTTTGTCTGTCTCCTCGGACACGGAGTAGCGTATTTGTCCTGCTCGGACTTCCCAGAAGGACCCCAGAAGAATGGCGATACGGAGGAATCCTCTGGAGTCTCCGCCCCTCGGCCGAGCTGCCATAGCTGCCCTGCCGCTCTTGCCCGAGCTGTGTCCGAATGTGTTCCTGGAGGCCGAGGGTCCGCATACACCCCTCCGTTGCCGGAAGGCGAGCCCGAGCCTCGCAGGAAGCGGAGGCCTTACGCCGATGCAGAGGATTTGTCTGTGGAGTCTCTGTGCTGTTTATAAAAGCTCCGTGGTTCAGACTGATCCCTCGCACTATTTTTCCTGGTTGGTGAACAGCGGCGCTCAGAGTCCTTACTAAGTAACTACACCACACTGAAGCAAAATATATGGATTTTCCCAAAAGATGGTTTCGTCCTTCAAAATTTCCCTTTAGTAAAATTTCTTCACTCCAGATCTCTCTGATAGGCGCTTTTACATTCAGTTTTGAAACTGTGAATTAATACAATTGTGTTTATGGATGAGTGTTTGATAATCCCAGATTATTAATTTTTAACCTTTACTTTCAGTGCCGGTTTGAAATGATTCTTGGACACTGCCTCCCACTTTACTGCAAAAGCAGGAAAACCAGACATTGCAGTTAAAAAGGCAAAGTCTGTAGAACGTAAGCACATGGCAACAAAAATTTACCTTGCGGTAGAACACATTTCAATCAGTTCATAGTACTATTGAACCCATACCACGTGGGAGACAGCACTATGAACGACTCAGAGAGCACAGCATTTCAAGTGGGTAGAACTTTAGAGTGGGTTTGGTCCAACACTTTCACTTTAAAGGTGAGAAAATGAGAGAGAATTGTGTTATCTCTGATCATATTAAGAGTCCAAGAGTAGATAAAGTAGAATCAAGGTTGTAATTCACGTATCCAGTTTCACAGTATTGTGAGAACAGACAAGGGATTCGTTATTGGCTGTGACTTAAAGTTTGCGCTCAAGAAATGCCACTAGAGATGAAGTTAGAAGCTCATCCGCAATAGTAGCAACTCACTTTGTCACTTTGTAGGGAGGCAGAGATTAGCAAAGAGAACTTACTGGCTATGGAGTCTGGAGAAACTGGTGTCGACTCAACTGCTGCTTTCCATTAATTAAACAGTGCAAATCTTCATCCCACCGTACTCTAGAATAATTTTAAGGCAGGGCCTCTAGAAATTCTCTGAGTATGTATGCAGTTATGTCCTGAGAGGATCCTTGTGTCCTGTTTGTCATTGAGTTGATCCCAAGAATATTGTTAGATGCTGTGGAGTCAATTCTGACTCATAGTGTCCCAATGTACAAAAGAACAAGCACTATCGGGTCCTGCACCATCTTCACAACAATGTGTGCCCATTGTAGAAGCCAAGAAGCCACTGTGTTAATCCACCTCATTGAAGGTCTTCCTCTTTTTTATTATGTTACCAAGCACGATTTCCTCCCACAGGAACTGATCCCTGAAGACAACATGCCACAATGATGTGAGATGCAGCCTCACCATGCTTGCTGCTAAGGAGTATTCTGACCATATTTCTCCCAAGACAGATCTATTCATTCTTTTGGTAGTTCATAGTGCTTTTGATATGCTTTGCCAGCACCATAATTTAAATACATCTATTCTTTCCCAGTTTCCCTTATTTATCATCCACCTTTCACATACATATGAGATGATTGAAAATGTCATGGCTTGAGTAAGGTACAATTTGGGCCTCAAGTGACATCTTGGCTTTTAAACATTTTAAAGGGGTATGTTGCCACAGATTTGTCCAAGGCAACGTTCATGTGCCCTTTGATTTCTTCATTGCTCCTTCCATTGCTCCTTTTACTTGTGGATTACAGTAAAAGGAAATCCTTGAGATCCTCAGAGGCACTCACTTCCCCACTGCTGTTGATGAAATAAAATGCAGTTGCTGATGGTAACAATCAAAGTCCCTCCCATAGAGTTTCACAGTGTAAACATAATTAAGGATTTCTACTGGACCACAAGGTATTTTAATGAAATATTCCATAAATTTACTATGTAAATAGAAATACACAGTTTTAGAGGGATTATATTGTTTTGTTTTAAGTGTGTTTATTTGAGAATCCAAGCTTTAGTTACTTATTTGCATTATATTTTTTATGGGAAGTCTATTTTTAATTACTTATTTGCATTACAATTTTTATGCTAAATTTATTTACCTTCCAAGGAATGGAGTTAAGTATTCTCTTTTTCCATTGTGAATGCTTCTATAGAAGAACTATTTGTTAGAAGTTTTCCTTCCCAGTAAAGATATAAGTATTTTCCAATAATTCTTTCCAAGATTCATATATACCCACTTTGATAATGGCACTTGAACTAGAAGTTTGATCAGAAATGAGTAGTTTTCCAAATGAAAAAATTATCCAACAATTTGTTAGTTTTCTTTTTGATGTTCTGAAGCATTCAATTTTAAAATATATATTATTGGAATTTATTCATTAACCACATATGAGGGGACTTTTAAAAGTTTGTGGAATGTTTAAAATTATCTTTTAGTTCAAAAATTTTAAAAGTTTTTGAACACACACATAAGCATATATATGGAATCTTTTTTATGAAGAAATGTTTTTTAATGAAGAGAATATTTATTAAGTCTTAAATGGGACAAAGACAGGGCAATACTACAGAGACAAACCACCTGGATGAGGGAGACCACTAGAATGAGGCCATATTTGTGTCTAAAGGTTTGCTGAGATATATACCATTAAAAAGGACATGGGAAGTAAATGAAGACTGTCACATAAACATGGCTGGTGGTATATATGAAAAATTGATGCAAATAATTGCTAAAAAGCAGATATCACATAATGCCATTCATTAGCAGCTTATTTAAAGAGCATCAACTCTGTTATCTTTATGAAAATTGGATTTTATAAGGAAGATTTTTATTCGTTTTTTCAAGAAATCAGAAATATGTTCTCTTACATATACATTTCAAATTCAGACGCATAAGTGGCCAACCCACTATATGATCAGATCATAGAGACCTACAGCTCAGAGTTGGAAGCAATCTTGTCTCTAATGTAAACAATCGATTACATGTAGAATAGTCCAGGCTTCCTTAATATCAAAGCCATCAACCTTTTTTGTAGAATTCTAATAATGCAACTATTTCTTGTGAAAACAACATTGGCAATTCAAACATTTGCCCTTTTTGCCTCAGCAAGTGAGTTGTGGACTCCTGGTGGCATTATCATTTAGGAGTTGGGTGACTAGCCACGAATCCATTGGCTCCAATGTACCAGCTGCTCCGAGGAGGAAAAGGAAGCTATCTGTTCCTGTAAAGATTTACAACCTCAGAAGCCCTATCAGTGTGAGCTGACTCCATAGCATTGGGTCATTTTTAAAATTTCCTAAAGCCATAGTTAGATTCACATTTTTGGGCCTCAATGAGTAACAGTTCTAAATGACAACGTTTTTCTTCAAATATTTGAATAATAAATAACTATGTGACAGAGGAGCATTGGTGGTTCCATGGTAGAATTCTCACATTCCATGCAGGAGACCAAGGTTGATGCCCAACCAGTGCACCTTGCGTGCTGCCATCACCCTTTTGTCAGTGGAGGCTTATGTTCTGATATGATGCCACCGGTCTCAGTGGAGCTTCCATACTAAAGTAGAACAGAAAGAAAGGTATGGGGACGGAGGGAGGGGAAAAATGAGGAGCTGATACCAAGGGCTCAAGTAGAAAGAAAGTATTTTGAAAATGACAACGGCAACATATGTACTAAAGTGCTTGATACAATGGATGGATGGATGGACAGATTATGACAAGAACTGTAAGAACCCCCAATAAATTGAAAATTTTAAATGTAAAATACACAATGAAAACACTAACATTTTGGTTTTTAAAAAAGAAAGATAGGTCTGAACTCTATTTCCAAAAACCAGCCAGTGGGGGCAGGGAGGGACCCCATGTATTAGAACACTTTGATGTCCAACTGACCAGGGGACATCTAAGGGACTGGTCTATGTCTTACTCTGTTGTGAATGAGGCAAGACACACTGATATGTAACAATATATGACAGAAATATTATTTTATCCGGGTTAAAATGCTGAATTATTGGTATTATTATCTGAATATTATTGCTCCTTCTTTCCCCATATACCAGTCAGTATTGTAAATTTAGACATACTTGTTGTAGGTGGACACTACTGAGCATATTTTAAAAGTAATATCTTTTAAAAAATCCATCAAACACACTGTATGTAGAAGACACTGTAGTGAGGAAGTCACATCAGATGCTTACATTTATTATCAACTGTCTAATAATTATAATAATGGTGATGTCACTGGAAGTATATCACATGGAGCTCTGTAATGTTAGAAAACACTTGCTCTCTTTATCTTCTGTTACAGAATTTCCAATTAATGTTTTCCACATTAGAAAAGGGAAGAATTTCACAAATATCTCATCACAGAGGCAGAAAACTAAGAAATAAGATGTAAATCATCCAAAGTACAATGCGTTTGCCAACAGGTAGAAGGTAAAGAAAAAGTAGGTCATGAATTAAGTATTCTTTTACATGGAATGCGAGAAAATGAAACTTTAAGAGCGCTCTGTTGTTAAAAAGAAACCTCAGAATAGCATGATTGTTATATGAATTATAAGGTTCCCTACAAAACAAAACTAACCATCGATCAAAGATAATTAAGTATTTTTCAATGCTCAATGAACCAAATAAAATGAAAAGACCTCACCTGAATAAAAGAATCCTCCTCTTTGCAAAAAGCTGACTCTTCCTGGGTTGAAAGAGGCTCGCTTTTCCCACAACTTTCTGCACTAATGAGTGTGTCAGCATAGTTGGGCTGAGGGAAGATAATGTGGCTCTTTCCGGAGTCTGCGGTGAGGGAGACCTCATGGGAATAGGTCTGCAGGAAAGCGCGCACCCCATCCACGCCCACAGAGTGTGAGGCTTGCAGGCTGGACAAACCACCACCTGAAGCCCGGAGCAGATGCTTTGTGTGCCAGCGCCGCAGCCTGAGCACCAGCAGCATGCTGACAAAGGCCAGGAAGACACAGGAGACAGCAGCCACAGCCACCACCAGGTACAGCGTGAGGCCAGACTCATCCACGTTGGTGGGAGACTCTCGACTGCTCAGGTCAGCCAGGTCGTCAGGGATGCTGTCAGCCACAGCCACAGTGAGGGTAACAGTGGCCGAGAGAGGGGGCTGGCCATGGTCCTGGACAACCACTACAAGGCTCTGCTTCAGCGAGTCTCTGTCCAGCATGGCCCGCGC